GATCTTATCTCCTTGTATTTATTTGTGAGGGCTAAAACCAATGTGGTATCTCTCACCTTTAGAGCTTATGTTTTCATCTTCGAGTGAGCTTCTCTCAAAAAACCTAATGTTACATCTAACTAAATCTTCTAAAAAATTTATTTTTTCTTAATTTGAGATGCAAACATGTCATTGAATACCTTGAGACTTATAGATCATCCATATTCCACTAAGTTAACTTTAGACATAGACTCTTATTTTTATTATTTAGTCAAACCAATCTAAATTGACATGTAGTCAAAGATATTGTCAATTTAAAATCTAGACTTTCATATGAAATAAATGAAATTGCTCACTCATCTATTCTAAAAATATTTTGAACATTTCAGCAAGTATAAATCTCATAGTTAGATTTAGTCATAACTAGCTAAACTTAGGTATCAAAGTTAATTATACTACTCATTCACAAATTGAGCTAGATCAAAAACTAGGATGAATGCGCTAATTAAATGACTAAATTAAAAAATTGATTACTCATGAAATTTGATCAAATTATCTCAAAGAAGAAGATAAAAAAACACTTTGACATCAACGGATGAAAAAAGTTGGAGAAGAGAATTCCAAGGAAAGAAAAGGATTTTTGTCCTTATTGTCGGACAAAGAAATAGGTCTGTTTGAGTTTCAATCATATCAGTTGAAAATGATCATACAGATTTAAAGCAACAAAATATCTATTCTTATTGATCAACAACAAATCTAACGACAAGATAACAATTTTCATCAACAAAAGAACGGCGGAAATCAACCGTTTTTCTTATGAATTTTAAACAATCGTCTGGCAAAATAACTCTAACGGCCGGCTGAAAGGCTAAAATCTCTTGCTGGCTAAAATTATTTATTTTGACACATGCTCCATAGAATCTTCAACTTGAAAATTTAATCTAGACAAACTCAAAATCAAGATAGAAATCTTGACTGCAACATATGAGTGAAAAAAAAGACACATTTATTCCCACATCACAAGAGACAATTTAAATCATTTGGTGGAATGAGATGACAATCATAAAGTATGATAAGCAAAGCATGATATGAAATAATCAAATACAATAAACGTGATGACTATTTGTCACAAGATATACAAGTGAAAACCAAGCTAAAGGTTATGTCTATAGGTATATCGTTAAGGCCAAAACCTTTCATTTAGAACGATGACAATTGGAGATATCTTTAGAAACAGGCTTTCAACATTGTCTTGTCAACACACTAGATTTACAACCTTTGAATTTGAAACAATTAGTAGAATATGAAAATTTTCCTTTGTTGTTTGAAGCTCCCAAACAGTTGTCAAATAATATGTAAGATTTTCTTATGTTGATATGCTTCAAAATGGAAGTTTATGGTAAAAAATCAAGATCATAGTAACGTGTTTGATAATCTAATGATTGATCTTCAAAATTTCCAAGAGGAGATCAGAGATGAGAAAAAAAACTATTTATTTTGATTTCACATGTTTCAAATGTTATTTTTTTGGTATTGGTTCATTATGATCTTTGAAAAACCAAATAACATGAAGTTATAATTATCATGAAGTTGTAAATGCTCTTCATATTTTTTTCTTGGTTTAACATTAGATGTTATTAGAATTCCGTCCTATTCAAGGAATGACAAGCTCATTAAATCTAATGACAGATACATTCTAAAGAAAAATATGATGAGACAATGGAAATGTGACAAGAGTGATCACATCTAGAAATACTACTGTGTGAAAACCAAAGATGCTGATATTACTTTAGCTAATGTGTTTCACAAATTTAATGACGAGTAGTATGATTTACTCAAAGATGATATATGATGCTAGAAATATATTTTGTGCAACTTATCAAGAAATGTTGATGACATGTATATCTTAGGCAGTGCTTTTTTTTATCACATTTGTAACATCAGGATATTTTTGAAAATTTCTTGGAAATCAAACAATTAAATTTTTATGAAAAATTATCAACCTTGTAAGATTAAGTTCGTTGAATGTGTTAAAATTTGAATGTTAGATGAAATCAAACATACATGGAATCAAGTTAAATTTGAACTTAATATTAGAAGAAATTTGATATCTATTGGAATGTCAGATTCAAAATGCTTTGAATGGAATGCTTGAGGTGAAAATATATTATAAAAACATGTTAAGTATCACAAGCACAAAAGTTCATACTTTCTAGAGTATGGACTTTTGTGGACATCATATGTGGACAAATCAATTTTACTAAATGTTAAGTTGAGATGTTTCATGTATGACGCTCTAAATTATAACACGCGATAAAATAGTACATGAACGGACTTGATGATAATAGCTTGTTACTTGACATAGTTAAAGTAAACTTAGAATATTTTGAACATTGTATTTTGAATAATCATCATACGCGATACTTTGATGTTGAAAGTCACAATTTCAAAAAGTTACTAGAATAGGAACATTATGATTTTAGTACAGAATCTTACAAACTGCTAATAATCTTGCTAATAAATTTTACTAATTTAGATACAAGTATAGTTTATTAGCAATTTTTGCTGACTTTATATTTTTTTTACTTTATCTTACTTTGGCTATCCCTTAGTTTTAATGCAAAGAGTAATTCAAGTTAGATTTAATTTTACAACTTACTATATAATCAACATGAGTATAATGTAAATTGCTAGTCTTATTTCAACGGTTAAATTAACCTTTTTTAAACTACCTCAAGTTAGAGTTAAATTTAGTTTAATTCAACTTAGATTTAAACTTCGCATGCTATCATATATATATAAGATCACTCACAACTTGAACTGAACACACTACTAAGAGTGGCAAATCATGTATTTTTGTTGTTGTGGAATCTTTATTTGTGGTTTATAGATTCTTTTGCATTTCTTATAACAATGTAATTCCAATAATTTTACAAATATAAAGCATAAAAAAACTAAGTGAAACTAGAATTATTATAACTCTTCTATAATTTTGATAGTATAAATATATGTATTTTAATATCTCAATATTAAAATTATGTCCAATAAATCTTATGCTAGAATTTTAAAAAATTATTTTAATCTAATTTCAATAACATTCAAAGTATAGATATTTTGCATTTAAATTCGTGCTCATCTTGTAATAAGTAGATTAAAAAATTGACAAGTTAATCATGTTATTCTATAATATTTTAAATAAAATTTTAATGTTAGATTAAACCTAAAAAATATTTTTTTTTCAAAATCAAAAGCTTTAAATATTAAATATCATTTTTTATAAATTCTAATTCAACATATTAAATCAAAATTTTTTTATATCAATAAATATAAAAAATAAAAAAATTTCGAAAAATATAATGTATGATAATTATAATCTAAAATCCATAATCTTTGTACTATATAATCTATATATTTTATTGTTTACATAATAATAATTTGGATATTTGAATAATATTACATATGGACCATTTCTCGATTTGTGCGTGTCATCCTTGCGTAGGGGCCATGCTAATATTCTCTGTGTCGTTCCAATTTTATCGGATGTCTCCGAAGGGACATCCGATAGAATTGAATGAACGATAAATAATATGATGACGTAAAAAAAAATATAAATAAAAAATATAAATAAAAAATATATGACATAATGAACTAAATAAATAGTTTTATGTCTAACATACTACAATTTTCATACATAATGTTTCTTCATACATAATTTTTGAAAAAAAAAAATAAAATATTCCTTGTTATATACAACAAAAATATTCAATTTAAGTTATTCAAAAAACTATATTAACTTAATTCAAGAATTTAAAAATCTTTATTTAGTTGTCATAATTTGAAAAAAAAAATTGTAGATCAGTTTTCTTGTATTGAAAGAAGAAATAAATAATCAAGATTTTTTAGTAATCTTTTTTATGATGATTGTAACTTAGAAAGCAGAATTTGAAATACTGGACTTTACTTATAAATTATTTTTAATAACAAATAAAAGAAATGCTCATGTGAATTCAACACATCTATATTGTTAAGTCTATAACTCAGAAGTATGTTTATATAATAAAGTCAAGTTACAAACATTAGGTATGTTATTTGCTACTCTTGAGTTTTTAGAAGTGATCAGTAACAAAAACTTTCATAGTTTCTACTTTCATAGTAGAGCTCAAATTTCCAACTGGTGGACTACAAAACGTAGAAAGTTGGCTTACCGGATCAAGCTGAAGACAAAAGCACGACGCAGAGTAAATATCAAATCATCATTAATATATTGTTATTATTTTGGTTATCAACATTATAAAAGCTAAAGATGATAATAAATATTCTAACATTCATCAAACAATTCTTGAATTTTCGTTTAAATTCGGAAATGAAATATATTTTAGTAAGATTTGAATTCGTAGTAAGACAATATATGAAATTTTTTTTTGACGATAAGTTTATCTTAAGATTAGGATATTTTAATGGTCTTTTAAGTTGACAATATCTTCTTTCTATTTGCATAGAATGTGGTCAACTTATGCCCTGTTATGTCGTACTACTAATCTAGTACTTTATAGCAAGAGAATATAAAATGAAGAAACAGCAACGGTGCTTAGCCCTAAGTAGCAGACTATATACATAATGGGTTACAACCTTACTTTCTTTCTAAAGCTAATGGCCTTAATAAGCTGACTATATACATAACAACCTACAAATCACAACATACGTCACAACCTTCTGTAGCTTTGCTTGAAAGGGAGCTGTATGCTTCACAACTACATTTCTTCAATACGTTCAGTGTGGGCGAACAAGTGCACAATGCTGTCTGCATATGACACATGACTAAAATGGATGCCTGAACATAAGATAAAGTCATACTCAATCTTCGACCGTTGAGTCGGGGTTGAAGTTTCAACCGCCGGGGAGCCCTGATGGCGACCGTATATACGGTTCGCTTAAATTACCTAAGTTTGATGGTGATTAGGCGGCTAAATTAAGGGAGTTACAATTTGGCTTGTACATGTTATAAGAGTTGACACGTATGTAAGATTGATGGATTTTTTAATTTATTTTTTATACATTAATGTAATTTTTTAAGAATTTTTAAAAAAAATTTTACTCTGGAAATAATTTTTGGTAAACTAAATTAGCCTAAATTAAATTTTAAGAAATTAAATTAATCTAAATTACCTTTTTAGTGTACTAAATTAACATAAATGAACTTTTGGAAGGAGACTAAATTCGCCTGTTTTAATGTTTTTGAATAGACTAAAGTAAGTCTTTCGAGGAGACTAAATTATACGTATTTCGGCGGGAGACTATTATATCCATGCCTGTTCATGTCTCAAAACGGCAAGGCTGCAAGTCCAGTGAGCATGCTCACAACCTGAGACATGTAAGGTCGATCCTTTGCTTCTTGTTGGACACAAGATAGAGCTATTTTAAGAGTCGCCAGGACTTCCTCCTGGGAGCAATTTCTCACCAAATCGTGGTCTACCATATCCATCAATTTGTCTCTGCGTAACAGATCAGTCGCCTGCACATTTCGTGGACATGGAAGATAAGAAAGATGATTAACCAGTTAAATGCATTGACTTACTTTCGTCTTCTTCCCGGCAAACAAGAACAAATACTGAAAGTGTAGAGAAGGTGTCTTATAGATGATCATCATGAACACAGAGCTGCACTGAACATACCCATACTCGTAGGTACATCTCTTCTTCGGACAAGGTAGACGAAACAGATCTGAGACATGGTCTTCCTGCAACAATCTCCAGTAGAAGGATCCCAAAGCTATAGACATCCAATTTCTCTGTAAACATGCCTAGGGTCGCATATTCTGGCGAGTAGTAACCCCTGTATAACCCACGAGAATAGTACAAGGTCATAAAATGCTGGTAACTGAAGATGTTGAAAGGCCATCTAGCTACGCTTAAGACGCATTTATTTGAGCATGGTACTTACCTTGTTCCACCTACATGAGTAGCCAGCTGAGTTTTGTCTTCATCAGCAGGTCGAGCTAATCCAAAGTCAGCAATTTTGGCATTGAGATACTTGTCGAGAAGAATGTTCTGAGGCTTGATATCTCTGCAGGCAAGCAAAAACGTTCATATGCATAGATAGAGAAAAATAAAATACATATTCACTTCGTTGTTCTATTAAAATTGTTTCATGAAAACTTCGTTGTCTTTTCTTATTAGTACAACAAAAAACTTCACATACTCATTAGCCATTTTCCTAATACTTTTGACTGGCATCGATACAAATTAATAAGTAACCGAGAAGTTGACTTCGCGTATGTGGTATGTGTTGAGTAGCTTACCTGTGGATAATTTTGGGCTGTAACTCTTCATGAAGATAAGAAAGACCACGTGCAATACCAACAGCTATCTTCTTTCTTTGATCCCAGTTTAGTACACGTGGTCTGGAACTACCTAGTAGATTGAAAGTGTGTCGATCAGCGATTATCTTTCCCCGAGAATGTCATATTATTCGTAGAATAGTTAGATTTGTAAAACTCTCGTGAACCAAGCTTTGATTTGAGTTTTTGAGGCCATAATTTGAGAATCATAGTGCTACAAACTTCCACAAAGCATACAGATGCATGCTGTGAAGAGATGATCGCTTACCCCACAATGCCTCGGCAAGATTCATATTTTCTGCAAACTCATATACCAACATCCGCTCTTTCTCTCTTACACAACATCCTCTGAGTTGGATCAAATTCGTATGCTTGATACCCGATATTAAGACCATCTCCTTGAAGAAGTCAATCACATTCTGATCTGTTGGATACAGCCGTTTAACAGCAAGAATCGTCCCATCTGCGAACACAGCCTGGTCATAGATTACTAAAGTTTAGTTCCAAATTTTCATGCACTCACCGAGTGCAGCGAAGATATTTGTTATAGGAGCTCGCAACACTTGGTTTGACACACTCTTCGTCACTCCAACAGTATCTAAAGAACATGGTATCCAATGGAAGCATGCTTCTGCCAAGAGCTCATTGAGAAAAAGCCTACGGATATGCATAATAGACTCTCAGATTGTCACCTTGTACACAGCACCAAATGCTCCTCTCCCTAATTCGTTGTTCTTCGAAAAATCATTTGTTGCTGCTTTCAGCTCCTCGTATTTGTAAAACGGTGGTCGTACATCAAGTTTGGCCAGAGCTGCAGAAAGGCAAAGACGTGTCATTTGGAAAGCTTGCAATCTTTGATCGTTACCTGACCTGGATGATTTCAATGCAGTTGACTATTAAGGCTGATAACCTGCAACAGACTTACCGTCTTGTATCTGCTGAAGGTTTTGTATGCGCTTCCAGGAATTTCTCAGAAAGAACATGAGGATAGCCGCCGAGACGAGCGCGCCAACGCCTACTGTTATGGCCACGATAAGTAAAGTTCTATTTCCACTATCTTCTGCGCAAGGTCAAATGGCAGCATGTACAGATTATGAGACCTTGATGCATCGGTGTGACACTGTGAGCAAAAATTTGGATCAGTCAGTCATGATTTGAACATATCAGAGCAGTGCGTTCCACAATTGCAGTTGACTCTTGCCTTCAAGCCAAAAATCTTCAGCTTCGTTGGTCCGGCACAGGTATCTAATTGCTAGAGTACTCTCTGAACCTCCACGAGCCAAACACCAAGGACTTCCTCCAAGCCTGAGATTCAAAAAGCAACAAAATGTCAATCCAATTAGGCCAGAGTGAATACACATTTCTATTCTTTAAAAATCTAGATGCTGATGTCTTCAGAATACTGTGAGGTGTTCAAGCGTACGTTTCTTCCTATTTGGGATGTATTCCATGTTCACCAAACTAATTGGGCAATTAATACTTACAAAATAAATGAGTTACTGTTTTGCTCTGATAACTGCCCGCTAGTTTGAGATGGCCGTATAATGTCGTCGAGAGCATCGTCTGATGGAATATGAACTATGGAGATCGGGTTCCCCAACAGTCGCACTCTTTGCACGGATGATGTGTTGAATTCCTTCTTTCCTTTCACGAGATAGTACCATGTTGTCAGGTTCAGCTCTGTGAAGTTATTGTTTTCCATATTTCTGCACATGTTACCAAACACAGGACACTAAATTATCTGGGAACATAAAGGGATATATCCTTTGAGCAGTTATTAAGAGAGCTTAATTCACTCAGAGTTTTCATTTGCGCATAAAGAAAAAAAAAAAAGGTGCTGGGACCACGACTTACATGTTTTCGAGTTTAGAGCTCCAGAGAGTATCTGTGATTGCGCCTGACAATAAGTTATCGTTCAAATATCTAGACGTACAGTTTCGAGAATCCAATAGTTAATTAGTATGGCCCCGAAGGAGTGGTCCTTCCGCGCAGGAAAATTTGTGCAGAAAGTCAATGCCGAAAATAAGACTAAGTCACAAGAATCAACGTACAAGCTCAAAGCTCTCATATCAAAGGTTTTGCGGGAGGATGTACTTACAGTGTCTTCAAGCTTTGTAAATTTCCTAGTTCAGTGGGTAAACCTTGAGACAAGTTGTTCCCTGACAAATCCAAGCTTTCCAGATTCTCAAACTTCATAATTTCCGCAGGAATGGGTCCGATGAAAGCATTATCTTTAAGATTTCTGAACATTTGGTCAACATCTCAAGTAAGTTCAGATTTGAAGGCACTTCTGCTTCTGCTTTTGCACTCAAATTTTGCTTTGAAGAACTCACAGAGAGAGAGAGCACTCACATCCCTTTGAGCGACTGTGTCAAAGACCGTATCAAAGACGAGAGGTTGCCGACGAGCTGATTCTGGGAGAACGATCTGCACATCTAACTGAACTTCTTCAGCACATCAATGCTAGATTTATTTCATGGTTTGATGCTGTTACAACTCAGATTTCATGAGTTGAGACAGTTGGCAAAGTTTGGCCTAGTTCATAAGGAATGAACTACGTAAAGTTGAACCTAAAATTAGCGAACCAGAAGTATATGTTGCATCTGATGACGTAGTACTGTACTCACATATATTCCAAATTCATGAAGGAATCTGCAGGAAAAGGCGGAATTTGACCAGAAAAGTTGTTTCGTGAAAAATCCCTGCACATCAAGAAAACAGTAGGAAGTCACGAAATGTAAACTGCAGTGACCTGAGAAATAAAAGGTGGATGTTCAGCACCATCAGGTTGAGCAATGTCGGTAAACGAAAAATACCGCCGCACATCTGATCACATCAAGCACTGTAAATAACTTCTCGAATTGATCACTGACTCGCAAATCAACAAGGTAAACATAATCTGTAGAGTTCTGATGGGACACATCTCTGAGTCTTACAGCGCTCTCAGCGTGGAAACATTCACTAAGGTTAGTGGCACGCGTCCATTTAAATGATTATTTGATAAGTCCAAGACGGTCAAACGACTTAGCGATGATACTTCCAGGTCGAACTCTCCCAACACGGCTTTCGTAGTAAGATTTCTGCATCGCCAACAAAGCCATATTAACGTCGTCTGCGCGTGGCAAGGTTTTGCAGCAAAATACGCACTTTCCAAGAGTTGCCCTAATTATGGTTCACGGCATGTATGCAGATTACCTTCAATCCATTATCAGAAGGAGGCAAGTTGCTGTGCTGCTACAAATTCAGATCGCGATGGTGGAAAGTGATTATTGTAAGAGATCCAGGAATTAAAAACTCACATTTGTGTTATTGTAGGGGGCAATTCGATACTACAAACTAGCCAGTCCCAAGGAATTGGGAGGCATGGATCCCCAGCTGTGTCTAGGGATTTTGATACCAAATTGGTTGAAAACCTTTTGACTGCATCAACTGAGAAAGTTAAAGAAAATAAAACCACATCAGTCTTTTTCGTCTTTTCATGAAAATTCCGGTTCAGAAAATTCTGCAAGCATAGCTGTCGGTGAACAAGCGACATAAAATGCTAACTGTGGCCTCACTTACCATCAAGTTTTGAAGTTCTCACTGCCACCGCTGCAAACTCACCATGAATCTCTACTGCATTTACCAGAACAGGTGCTTCTGTGGTTTCATTTGGTTCAATTCTGATTGTAATTGAATCGCTACTGATTAAAAGGTCGTTGTTCAATAGCTGAATAAAACGGGGAGTTGTGTATGCCTCAACCACCGACCAGATCCAAGCTATATCACCGTCGATTAGACTGACCTTTTGATGAGGATTCACATCTCCAGAAACAACGTTTGAACATAACATCTGGAACCAGAATGTTGGAAGTGGACGGAGGGCTTTAACGCTCTTCACATTAACCTCAAAGTTAATGGTGGACGACAAATTTTTTCCCCTCCATATCGATCTCATAACTGCAATAGGGAAGTGAACATTGTCCCCGCCATACGAAAGGTTTGCATCTTCGGTCCTGTTGTAAGCCTCAAACTGCGCTCCTGCGGGAATTCGTGGGGATGACCATATACGATCGAAAGGGTCTGCGGGATACCTGTGTGCAGAACGAAGCAAAACGTCAATGGTCACCATGCAGTTCACATGCTGGACAGCATGATGAGGTAAAGCTAGTCTCGCTCCACTCTTCTTCAATTCTCATTCGCATGTGCACCTGAGAGCAGGCGACTCAGCTTCAAGTATTCCTCCGAAGTCGAAACGATCAACGAGCATGAGATAGCTCGACTGTTGCTTCTCTTTCGACTGACCAGATCTGCCATAGGTATCGGATTTTGCGGACGTAGGATTGTACGGACGCAACTCCAAAGTTGAGATAGCTGGCATTGATGACTTGTCTTCCAAGGGCACGAGACAAACGTAAAATTTGTCATCTAATGAAGAGACCACCAGGTCGATTGTCTGCGGTATAGAAGGCAGTAGCTGGATTGTGGTGATGTAGGTGGAATCGACAGTAAGGTAGAACCGAGTGGCAAATCCCGACAATGCTTTTCCTTTCAGAGTCAAGTTTTTGCTGGGAAACATTGCTCGAAGAAGATAATTTCGTGATCCTTCAGTTTCGCTAAATGCAATCGGCAAGGTGTAGCAAAACTTCGAGCGTGTCATTTTGTTGGGAAGGAACACCAGAGCAGTTTTCAACTGTTCGCCATTCGGCACGCTAGGTGAGCTCTCGTTGTACTGAACGTCGGCGGTGGCGATGGCATTTTCATCAAAAAGACTTTTGTACGAGTCGAGGTGAGATTCATCAGTGATCCAGTCGAGTGAGGTGACAGGGTCTACTCCGCTTACGCCGCCACAGCTGATGCTTATGAATCCTAAGTTGCAAAGTTTTCATCAGTACTATCGCACTGGCCTGATTTTATATTTTCATAGCTTCACACAATCGGCAATAATTCCCATTGCAATGTTTCGTTGGAACTGTGAGCTAAATTGAAATAAATGAACTCACCGTAGAAAGCTAATTTGCTGACTCACCTTGTGTAGAGTTCTCAGTAGACTGGGAGAGGACCGGAGAAAGAATCAGGTTACATAATAAGACCCCAGAAAGAATTCCAGCCAAGGATCTTCTGCTTCTGCTCCCCAATTTCATTGGAAGCTGGCTTGTGAGTTGCAGAGAAAATTGACACAAATCTCTGCCCGCCATTAGTTGCCTGATATCACGGCTCCAGCTTAGGCAGATGTCTGCAGCGTAATCAGACAGCTCAGTGATATGAGTGCTCCACATACTGTGCCCACAGCAATTAGCATACTTAATATGACAAAGTCCATATACAATATCTCAATTGATTTGAAAATTGATGTTCGTGAAGCTGATATGTAGCTAAGAAGAAGAATAAGGCGGGTGTTCATGCATGAGTGCAGATGCCTGGAGGTCGTGTCTAAGATATCCCAACAGATTGTGAACTTGGCAAGTGCATCAAACTTGGTGAAACGGCCAGAAACTTTCACGACTGTCTGAACGGCGCATGTCTATTTTTCAGGAAGACTAAATTCACTCCCTTACGATCATGGTGGAACCAAGAGTCAATACCGAGCCTTTGAAATCACAACGAACAATGTAAAGAGCACTTTTCTTCCAAAGCTCTTATTCAGCGTGTGGTACTTGTAACCGGCGGGCAAATGTGACAAAACTTCGAAGGAGCCTTGCGCTCACGATTCCCCGGGCTAGAAAGCTCGAGCAGTTCTCAGCGCTTCCGCACTGCATTTGGGATCGAGGGTTGGACTGAGGCTTATAGTGACACCTTCTTCAGCCACTTGTACCGGTGCTTGGATGAAATCTCTCTCGCTTCTCCACTCCACTCCACTCCAGGGTCCGTGCCAGCATCTTTACTGCAATTGATGAAGCCTGAAATAATCAACTCTTGTACATCAAGATATCTGCGACCCCAAGTGTATGCAGAAATTAGAACTTCTGAGGCAGAAGACATATGTGCAAAGACATGCCAGGTTTTCCCAGAAAATGCTCTTTCCTAAACCTGACCTTGAATGCAACGCCAGTTTGATATGGGAAGTGTGAAGCAGATATGCCAAGTGTGAAGCTAGGAAAGCGGCTGATTAAGCGTCCTGTCGCTGCCCAGATAATCTTTCCATGCCCATACTTGCTCGTAAAGACAAGCTTCAGATACACCGAAAATCTCAGGGCTAATATCAGCCTTAAAAGCCACGCCTCTCTCGCCAGAAGCAACAAGAGCAATGTTCACTAAGAGCAACAGAAAACTGTCAGATATAAACTTTGCAAGAATCACCTTTCTGAGATTGAGACGAAACGGGTAGACAGGCGAGTTGAAGGTGAGAAGCGCAGAAACAATCAATATCTTGAAACTTGCTCTCCTGCGTTCCAGTTTACTCTGTCTTCAAAAGACGAGAAGTCTACGCACTATCAGCACCAGAAATTTCCTATCGAGATCAACGAGATTTACTTTGTGCCCAGTGGGTCGACCCGGAAACTGGACAATCGAATACAGTGAAAAGGATTACCAATACAGCTAGTCTACTTCGAATGAATGTCTGCACTTATCATCAGGACCACGTGTTCTGCAGTGGCCAGTTTCCGAGAGCGTTCCAATCGTCAATTCAATGCTTTGCGCATAATCTACTCTACTGGCAAACTCAGAAAGACTTCAATTCAGCACAACTCAATATCTTCGGATTGCAGGCGGGAAGCTCTTGCTCCCACAGCGCCGCACGAAGCATCGCATACGTTCCATACTTTCAAAATTGTCCTAATAACCTCTGCGTCCGCCGTTTATCTTCCGACGAGTGATCGTGGCCTAAGTATACAAAAACTATAATTAAATTGTTTATACGAGCATGAATGACTTGTACTCTCAACGGTTTTCAAACCACAATCCGCGTGGGTCACACATTCTCGTTCTGATTTTTTCAATAACTTTCCATATAGAAATTTCAGTGTAATAATGTAAGTACGGGAGTAGATAATTTCTGATTAGCCTACCCGATGCTACGATTCTTGTACGGATTTGTGAGATCTTTCTGAATCAATATGGTAGGTCTGCACTGTCGTGATCAGTTGGATCACGACATGGGGATCGGACCGAAGACATGAGTAGTACTATAATGTGAGTAGATGTCAGCAGCACCTTCAGCGAGTACCGCGTACGTGGGATTTGTGACACAGCGTAGGCATGGCGTGGTATTTGACGAAGGTCGTCTATCTGTTGCTTTTTTGACGTGGTCCCTGATTGCGGTAGAGGAGGCTCCGTGCGGTGCGATCTTGGCACCATTCTGTCAGCAGCACCTTCTGCAAAACTTCGTACGTGGGAAATATGGACCAGGCGTTGACGTAGCGTGATTTTGGACAAAGGTCGTTCCTATGTGGGCTCCATCTCGGCTACGTTGATATTGATATTGACTTTAGAAGACCCCGTTCTGGCCAATTGGTCTCTGAACGTAATCCGTTTAATCAGACCAGGGCCAAGTAAAATTTGCGAACGGGATTTGAAGACCCCATCAAGTCGTACACGCGGGACGTGATCAGACCACCTTTGACTTCGCGGGATGATTCTTCGAGCTTTCTGGACTGTCCCTTGGGTGGAGATTACAATACGCCATGTTCCCCCTGTGTTTCTGCATGGAAGAATGCAGTGCCCGACAGCTGTCAAGAAGGTTTCGATTCCTTCGGCCTGAAGTCCTAGGAACCCATGACTGGAACGACATCCACATTCCCCGGAATTTTTTTTCAATTTTTCGCTTGCAGTCAAAGGCAGGGAGTCTGTCTGGTACAGTATACGGTCTCGAGGGCTGCACTTTATGGTGTACGGGTCCACCCGCCAACTGTGCCTCAGCTCTTCGAGCTCTTCGAGGGTGGCTGGTGGGGAACTTATTTCGTAAATCTGGACATCGTCGTACATGGAGTACGACGGGAAGAAGTCAGAGACGAGAGAAGTTTCGAATGCCGGGATTTCTTCACCGTGGTTGTGTTTTGCCAAATTATGGAATATGAAGAGTCAATTCTCCTTGTTTCTCAATCTGGGCTCCGTTGACACCTTCATTAACAACCCATTGACCATCTCAATGCCTGCCTAGAATTATATCGAGATATTATTGATTTTTAATGTTGGGGCTTGGGAAGAAATCTGTTCCTCGAGGTCTACGGAATCTATTTTTCATTCTATGATCAAAAAGTTGGAAGTCTATGAACATGAATGAACATATTCATGCACACAGCTTTTTTCCAAAAGCCGCTTTCCTCTACTTTATTCGTCACCTTATCTATGATTGAACAGATTGCAGCTAGATACCTTGTAAAACATATCATGGAATTCAAGGAAATATCTTTCACTTTTTGAAATGATGTATTTCTGTTACGTTTATTTTTTAAAACAATGTTTATAATATGACTCCCTATTTATTCACATGTCATATCACCAGGTAAAACCTACATAGATGTACATTTAAAACGTTAATTCAGATTAATTATCACAATGACAAGCATTTCCAAGAGAGTTGACGTCAACCGTAGATGATTGATATAAGTGAGAATACATATTCATTAACATCAGTCATCTATGTATAGAATACTTTATGAAACATACAGATTGTGAATCTTTGCTAACTTTCATATATAGCTGCGCATGTACATAATTTTGCTCGTAAAAAGAGAAAGAGCTTGTAGACATCATTTGACATGGATAAAATTCTAAATGCAATCATGATCAAGATAAAAGAAAGGTATGAAGAAAATATATACAAAACATCAAGATAAAAAATTTCATATAGAGACTAAAGTTTAACTGAATCCAAATCCTATGGACACTATAGAGATAAATAGACAAAGACTTGAAGATTAAATTAATTTTTATTATGAATGGAAAAGTCATGTAAAATATAAGCATATAAGAGGAATAAAGAAATATAAATTTTAGAAGGTTGGATCATGAATATAAAAATACATTTATTATAATTTTATCTTCTGAGATCTTATCTTAGTTCTTCTAGATATCTTGTCTCGTCCATCCTCCTGCACATCTTGGTTCTTGTTATAACCTCCAGAATTCTCAGCTTCTTCCATCACGGACTTGTCTACTGCCCTAATTTATATCCAGTTTTGTCCTTTCTTTTGACTTTTCCCTTTTCTTTTCTTTCGCTCTTTAATGAATGCACTTTAATGAATGCAGCCTGCCTCGATTGGCACTGTTCACCTGATCTCATCCAGCCATCACAATGTTTTTATCGTTTAACTCCCTTAAAGTTCACATATATTCAATTCGCTACAAACTTTCTCGGGTATGTGATGTGAAGACGATCATGAGAATGTCTACCAACCGGTCGTACCGAGATAAGTTATAATCGACCTCCAAGTCATAATCTGGCAGTCAATCATGGTTATAGATAATGTCTATAGCTCTATCAAAGGGTTACAGTATTTTCATTGATGCAGTGTCCAGCCCTCTGAAATCATAAATCTCTACACTTAAAGCCTCGTCTTTAAGCGACAGAACTCATTGCTACTTGTGTGAACTCCATCGTGAAGTCACCTCAGAATCTGCAAAGTGGCTTTGAATAGGTCACGCGATTGTTCTTTATCGAAGTTCACTGTGAGCTTTAGTAGCCTGCTTTCTCTCCAAACTCTGTGGCAATTCGAAAGTTGTTACTTTACCGGCGTAAATTTTGGCTTTGTGGATGATGATGCAAGCAAAACTGACCTGCAATGCAGCAAAGGATGTTTCATCAACACCCTTCCTCTACAAAGATGACATGAGTAATCTTTGCTTATCATACTAGCCATGTCACAACAGCACATAAAGTATTTACAGAAATGAGTGTTTTGATATTTTACAGCGTGAGATGTAAATGTCATGAAGTTGTTGTCTGCAGGTGAGTGGACATCGTCAACGAGCGAAAGATCCAAACACCATACTCGGCTTGACGCACTAGATTAATATAGAGTCAAAATATCAAGTATTTATGTAGAGGTTTTATTGTGTCTAATTAGTGAAAATGTGATGTTGTAACATTGCTCCTGTTTTCATTCAAATAATCTGGATAGAGAAGTTTTGAGTACGATATCACGAGATAGTAATATTGGAGTTTTAATAAGTATTTATTGCCATCCAGAGTGGAGTCTTTTCATGGTCAAGAATGACTACAATGATGACTCATGCATTCATATTTGAAGACTTTAAAAATGCTAATCAGTTCACATTAAAATTTCTAATTTCAGATTTATACTTTTCCTCTCATGCATCAGTCAGGTTTCTATATGAGGCAGTGTTCAATCCAGAATCTAAATTGAAAAGTAGTAGCTAGCTAGCAACTAGCAACTAACTAATCTAACTAGCAAGTTTTACGAATACGTTATGCAGATGCTTGAAATTACATAGAGTAATAAAGTATGTGACCCTTGTATAACTCACGATCGGAATACAGTTGCTTGAAATTAGACGGAGCATAAATGAACTCTTGTTCAAGGTAATCACTGATCTCCCTACGTCAGTGGCTCAAGGGCACACGCAAAGGTGATCTCAATTGAGATATCTGGAAGAGAACATAGGGTACTGAAGACCTAATCTAGGAACTTGAGATACTGCATGAGCTCACGTACGCACTATCGAGGCACCATAACCGAGGCTTGTGAATCGGTGGCAAATGATGACATTAAAGCATGTTCGACTGATTCTCCTTGAACGCCTTGTCTACTAGGATAGGTGTCCACGTAGTGTTGGTCCTCTGGTATGCTCAACAAGTTTGGTGTCTGGATTTTTAACTCGTTGACGATGTCCACAGCTACACTTGCATTTGAGTTCTTCATGAGAACGTTCACCAGTTGAGACATCGTTGCGCGTTTCTTGGGATGTGTTTGCAGACAAGATAGAGCCATGTCCACCACGAGCATGACTTCTTCTTCGTCGTAATTGCCCTCCAGTCTTTTATCGACCAAGTTCAAAACCTTGCCTTCCGTGTACAACGTTATAGCCTGCGCAATTCATGAGGGTGTGAGAGGCCGAAGAGGAATATAGCAGTGAAGAGATTCGCGCATGTATTCTGATGAGTGAAACTGGCAGGAGTTACAGAGAAAGGAGGCAGATGAGTATCTCCTAAAAGCCTGAAGCTTTATGAGCTGGATTTCGAATGTTCGTGCTATAATGATGCAGTGAAATTTAGGAATCACCCACCCAGGAGCGTAGAATACTTTGTTCCTGTGGCAACTTCAGATCGATGCACGGTCTTCCAGCAACGATATCCAGCAAGACAACACCAAAGCTATACACATCCAGTTTCTCGGAAACGACGCCTTCTAGTGCATACTCTGGTGAAAAGTAGCCCCTGTAGTTGCATGGAAAGGAATTCAAATTGTTAGTACCTTGATCTAAGGGCATACCACATTCAAGTTTCAACTGCGAGTCTCACGAATTGAGTGCAACTGTCGTGCATTTGATACACATGAACTATTTCGACCTGTAGAAGTACCTCGTTCCTCCAATGTTCATGGTGAATAGAGTGTGATTTGAATCATTAGCGGGCCGGACGAGTCCAAAGTCGGCAATCTTTGCGTCGTAATTCTTGTCCAGAAGAATGTTTTCCGGCTTTATGTCTCTGAGAGTTCAGAGGCAGGTGACGGTGAATAAAGCGGAGAAATCACACACCTCAAAATCAGCCCTAAACGAAGCACAAGCATGTATGCATCAAATCTCAGGGCTAATATCAGCCTTAAAAAGCACGCCTCTCGCCATCGAATGTTCACTAATAGCAACAGAAGACGGTCGGATATAAACTTTGCAAGAATCACCTTTCTGAGATTGAGACAAAATGGGTAGACAGGCGAGTTGAAGGTGAGAAGCGCAGAAACAATCAATATCTTGAAACTTGCTCTCCTGCCTTCCAGTTTACTCTGTCTTCCAAAGACGAGAAGTCTACGCACTATCAGCACCAGAAATTTCCTATCGAAATCAACGATATTTTCTTTGTGCCCAGTGGGTCGACCCGGAAACTGGACAATCCAATACAGTGAAAAGGATTACCAATACAGCTAGTCTACTTCGACAGAATGTCTGCACTTATCATCTGGACCACGTGTTCTGCTGTGGCCAGTTGCCGAGAGCGTTCCAGTCGTCAAATACAGGCTTTGCGTATAATCTCCTCTACTGGCAAACTCAGAAAGACTTCAATTCAGCACGACTCAATTACTTCGGATTGCAGGCGGGGAGCAAGAGCTTCCCGCCTTCCGCACGAAGCATCGCATACGTTCATAAAAAAATATTCCATACTGTCAAGATTGTCATAATAACCTCTGCATCCGCCGTTTATCTTCCAACGAGTGATCGTCGCCTAAGTATACAAGTACTATAATCAAATCGTATGTACGAGCATCAATGAATTGTACTCTCAACGGTTTTCAAACCACAATCCGCGTGGGTCACACATTCTCGTTGTGATTGTTTTTCAATAACTTTGCACATAGAAATTTCAGTATAATATTGTAAGTGCCGGAGTTGATATTTCTGATTAGTCTACTGAGGCTACGATTCTTGTACGGATTTGTGAGATCTTCCTGAATCAATATTGTAGGTATGCTCTGTCTTGATCAGTTGGATCACGACATGGGGATCGAGCCGAAGACATGAGTAGTACTATAATGTGAGTAGATGTCAGCAGCACCTTCAGCGAGTACTGCGTACGTGGGATTTGTGACACCGCGTAGGCATGGCGTGGTATTTGACGAAGGCCGTCTATCTGTTGTTTTTTTGACGTGGTACCTGATTGCGGTAGAGGAGGCACCGTGCGGTGCGGTCTTGGCACCATTCTGTCAGCACCACCTTCTGCAAAACTGCGTACGTGGGAAATCTTGACCAGGCGTTGACCTAGTGTGATTTTGGACAAAGGTCGTTCCTATGTGGGCTACATCTCGGCTACGTTGATATTGATATTGACTTTAGAAGACCCCACTCTGGCCAATTGGTCTCTGAACGTAACCCGTTTAATCAGACCAGTGCCAAGTATTATTTGCGAACGGGATTGGAAGACCCATCAAGTCGTACACGCGGGACGTGATCAGACCACCTTTGACTTCGCGAGGTGATTCTTCGAGCTTTCAGGACTGTCCCTTGGGTGGAGATTACAATACGCCATGTTCCCCCTGTGTTTCTGCATGGAAGAATGCAGAGTCTGCATTCTTCCATGCATTGCAGAGCCCGACAGCTGTCAAGAAAGTTTCGATCCTTCGGCCTGAAGTCTTGGAACCCATGACTGGAACGACATCCACAGTCCTGAAGAAACTTTTCAATGCGTTTTGATCGGTTGCAGTCAAAGGGAGAGAGTCTGTCTGGTACAGTAGACGATCTCGAGGGCTGCACTGTGGTGTACGGGTCCACCCGCCAACTGTGCTGAGGCACAGTTGGCTCTTGGACGGGTTTAGCTGCACAAACTTATACATAGCCCCTATATAGGGCTTTCATAGACCCAGGCAGGTGTCATCATGCAGTGAGCCGTGATGGGAGTTGTTCTTTTCGCTGCGACTCTCCTCTTTTGGATGAAAGATGGAAGAATGTGCGGGCAGGTTTTTTATTGGCATTCAGTTTTCGGTGGAGCATCAAAGTGACTTAAGTAGATCGCTCTGCTTTCCGGCGGACGGATCTAGCGATGGACTATAAGAATATATGGGCGACCATCCGCACTCAACTATGAGGGAATCCCTATTCTCACAACCTGGTCGACGTCATATTGACTACCATAGTTCTTCACAGCAGAACTGTTCAACCGATGCTTGAAACTGTGTCGACCACCTTGAAAATGTTTCTCTCCGTGCTTTTCCCTTCTTCCCCTGCTACCTGAGCACATGAATCCACCGGAGAATGGACCGAATAGGCAAGTCACAATTCGCCAGTTAGTCTTTCTGAATCAAGACCTGAATCGACGTATCACTTTGAAGAGGGCAAGTCGGCACATTGATAAAGTCGGTCTGGATGATCCAACAGCGATGGTTGACTATGCTAGAAAAATGTCGTTTCAAACACGAGTCAGGGATAGGAGTAACATTCAAATTTTTTCTTGACTCGGTGGTTCAAAGTGCGCTGGTGGTAGTTGGGGAACTCCGAGGAGAGATCTTCTTGCTGAGCAGGTGATATCTAGTATATTGGATCACCCTGTTGTGGAGTTCATGATCTTCCAGTTTTGTGTTCAGTCCTCTACTTTCTAAATGCTGAAACCTTCAGCCTGTTTCTATCAAAGGGAAAGCACTCCTGAAATGTCCAGAAACGCTGACATTGTCACTCAGAAACTTTTGATCTTCGATGTCTCCGGATGAATGAGAAGGGTTCTGTCTGGTATGTTAACCTTCTAGGACTAACTTCGAGAGCCATAATTCTCAAGGTTTGTTATGGTGCTTCGAATTACATGGCCCAAGAACTGAAGTGCACCTTTGACTTGAGGTTCTCTGTTGGAATATAAATGCTCCTCTTGACAGCTTCCAGAGTTATTTGGATGTATCTTGAATAGCCAGAGATCAGATAAACATATAATAGCCAGAGAGTTGAGATGTGGAGCTCCTTAAGTTTGGTTCATATTGCTGCGCAATACAAATTGTAAGCCTGTCCTCATTATGATCTAAACTTTGAGTTACAGATAGGTCAAGAATTATTGGTCGAGACAAGCCAGCACGATTTACATTCTCTCATTCTCTAGACTAAATTCTCTTTTCTTCCGTATTTTTTCAAAACTTTATTTATCGAGGATGATAAGTACACTCTCATCTCTGAGTTGTTGAATGTATCCACGGACCTCATCGGGGAGCAGCTATCAAAGTCAGCAAACCGGAATTTAGAGAAGAACTAGAGACATATTTGTCCTAAGTTCAGGTGAATTATCTAAAACTCAAATGACACATGAAAAAATTCTGATATATAATAGGCAGACGTATTCTGCAGAGCTACTCTGATGGAACTTCTGCCAGCTTTTGACTACATCGTCTAATAACTGGCAACTTCTGTCAGATGAGACAAAACCTGAAATCGAGGCAAATTTTGCACATATCTCGTGCAAAATCTACTTATAGAAATGGTCAGCTGCATCATCAGAGAACAAAGAGATGCAAAGGATGGAGGGAGGGGAGCAGACACTTATGGCGTTGAGAGCCTGTGAGAATTCAAGTTCAGCACAAACAAAAATTCCAAAAGTCTCTTAAACACATGCAGTCCATGTAACATAAATTAAGCATAAGTGCACCTGAATTCTACAATTAGGAACTATTGTCACAACGACTTTGTCCACTTCAGAATTCAGGTCAAGTCACTCAATGTAGCTTTCAACCAAAAGCCAGTCTCAAGTTTAATGGTGCTGTACTTGAACTGCCAACTAAAACCAGAAATCACATTAGCAAGACTTCAGCATATAACTTGGATACTTTGCCCCAGGGCCAAAAAGCTGAAATGTACATGTGCAAACCAGCTACCACTTCTTTTGAGCCACATTGGAGCCTATCTAGGTAGAGTGGAAAAAAAAACAGGTCTGAAAATTGCCATTTAAGACTTTTGTAATTGAAACTAACCAGTATCGAAGTCCACGTACGACTTTCAATTCATCGCCATATGTTAGCACGTAGTGTTCTCTCACCAGGTGGCTTTCTCTTGGCGCTTACATCCATGTTACCATCTGACGAACGAGTTCTCCTATCTGTAATAACAACAACCCAATCGCAGAAATTATCATTTTGATACAACATATTTCAGTTAAAGTTAAAGCTCAAAGAAAATGCTTGGAAATCATTTTACTTGCACGTTTCCCGCTGTGATCACGTTCTGGTCCTTTGCTAAGATCCTTAACAAGAGTAATCGCTGTTGCAAACATTTTAACTTTATTCCACCACTTGTTGGCAGCAACAGCCCATTTTACCGACCCTTTGTTTTCAAGTGTGCTGACACGGATCTTATATGAGGCGTCTGTCGTATTAAGTTCGTCTGCCGTATACTTAGCTCGCCATTCCAAGAGAAGATTTCGTTTTTTTGCATCCATCCTCTTGACTTCAACCTTCGCTCCTCACTTTTCAACTTCCTGTGATATATCTACTTACATAAAAAATGGCTGTATGGGCTCTACGGAATCATACATCTCTTATTCATCAAGAGCTGACTTTGAAATCTCACCCTGAAAAAATAACAAGCACAATACTCTTAGATCATATCCAAACTGCAATATCTGTAATTGTAACATAAACTTTACAAATTGGAAAATCTTTACGTCAAGAGTAAGAATGTCTGACCTTTGTCCGAGCTATCTCTTCATCTTCGATGACACCTAGGTCTGCCATGCGTTTCATTCGACCTCTCAGATGGGTTTCTCCAAGATCAAGTTTAGCTTTCCTGCCCGTTGGACTATAAAGATAATCCAAGAATTTCAAGATTATTTGTTCATTATATTCCAAAGATGTATTCCAGTTGGATTGTTCAATCTATGTGTACTTACAACAGAATACTATGCATTCTTTTGGCTCATCTTTCAAATTGCTGCAACTGTCATCTGCACTCAAGATTGCCACGAGATCTTCCATGGCTTCAACTTCGTCAATGTCAATCTCCGACTTCTTCATACCTCGCCGTTGACTACTCCTTCTGTTTTTGGCCTGCTCTCCCTTCACCCACTCTTGAATAGAATCTACGAACTGTGCCTTTCTCTTATAGGGATCAAGTAGTTCGTCAAGATGATCAAAGACAAAATTTGTAAACTCTAGAATTCTCAACATTTTCCAGCCTGGAAGTAAATTCTTGCATACGAGTCTCATAGCCCTCAAAATCACCGGAGGTGTCCTCCAATTCTCCTATATCCTCTCCTGTCATTAGAGAATATATCTTTTGGTCGAAATAACCCTTAATAATTTGGACACACAACTCAAACTGTCATTTCTGCAAAATATATACGGTTATTGCAATCTGAACATAATAAATCAAAAATTTTGTGAAAGTCTACATGAATTTAATTTGATATAAACAATGCAAATAGAAAAAAAAACTTGCCACTGAAGAATTGCATACCTCGCTTCGAAAGAAGTCCAACTTATCTTGCTTGTGCTTGATCCAACGCTGACAAAAATTTCCAAAATGCTTGTCACAAGAGTCAATCAACTCTTTTTTGTCAGTCTTACTAGAAACTCCAGTCGTCTTTGGTTCAGGTGGAAGCTTCTGGGTAATTTGGAGATGACAGTCTACATGGTCTTTCCTCCAATGCTTTTTGATATAATTCTTCTGGCAAAATGTTCCTGGGAAAGGACAACCTTGCAGTAGGCATTTCCAGTTATGCCTACCGCCCTTGGTGACGTGTGGCACCTTCGCATA